ATATATATATATATATATATATATATATATATATATATATATATATATATATATATATATATATATATATATATATATATATATATATATATATATATATATATATATATATATATATATATATATATATATATATATATATATATATATATATATATATATATATATATATATATATATATATATATATATATATATATATATATATATATATATATATATATATATATATATATATATATATATATACATATGTTTTGTTTTAGGCTTCAGGTCTTACATGTGTGTTGTAAATTCTTCCGGGTTTTACTCCGCGTCTGGTCTGGCTGGCCCAAGTGAAGGTAGTCCTCTGCTGACAACGTTTCGCCAAGATCTCACTTGCCATTTTCAAGTCGGGTCGTTCTGCTTCTTGTCTGAACTCGGCCGAGTTCCCCGACGTAACACGCAATATAACGAAATAATTAATTTTATAGTATTTTAAAAATTATTTAATTAATTAACCGGTCAATTTCACAACCCCCATTCAGAATAAAAAAAATATTTCCTTTTTATTGTAAATTATTCAAAAGGTTGGGTTTTGAGGGGAAAATTCTATATAACTTTATTAGATAGCGAAGACGCCAGCATGGAGAAACCCATATTAACTTGCCTATGGGCAGATACTACAAATAGTTTTCAGTATATGTATAATAGATTGTAGTAATAGTAACAATATTAATAATAACAATAGTAATATTTGCATTATGAATATACTTAATATATTTGTAATAATATGTATATGTATATACATATATATATATATATATATATATATATATATATATATATATATATATATATATATATATATATATATATATATATAATGGGTGTTTTTTTCTATGTATAGAACTTTAAGTTGACATTACTGTCCCAGATGGCGACCGATTTAACAGCTGTCAAGTGATTTATTCTCAGTTTGGTTTGGCAATTCATCATGAATAGACTCACGCCTGAACAACGCTTGCAAATAGTGCAATTTTAATTCGAAAATAATGGTTCTGTGCGGAATATGTATCGCGCACTACGTCCATTTTATCGTCGACAAAATCGTCCATCAGAGCAGTTAATTCGATTAACCATGGAACGTTTTCGCACAACGTTTACTCTTATCGATAACTCGCATCCCCAGAGACGCCGTACGGTGCGTACAGAAGAAGCTGCTGTAGAGCGTAGCATTGAAGAAGACCCGAATGAGTCCATCCGCCATCGAGCACAGGAATTGGATCTGTGTCCATCCACTTAATGGAAGATTTTGCGGAAGGATCTTGGTTTACGTGCTTACAAAAGCCAACACGTGCAAGAATTGAAGCCAAACGATCATCAAGTAAGACATAGATTCGTCGAATGGGCCCAAAACGAGATTGCCGTTGTTCCCGATTTTCATAAGCGAATTTTGTTTAGCGATGAAGCGCACTTTTGGTTGAACGGCTACGCCAACAAACAAAACTGCCGCATTTGGAGCGAAGCTAATCCTCAAGTGTATGTCGAAACACCGTTACATTCAGAAAAACTCACTGTTTGATGCGCTTTATGGGCTGGTGGAATCATTGGTCCGTACTTCTTCAAAAACGATGATGGCCAGAACGTTACAGTCAATGGTGATCGGTATAGAGCTATGCTTAGTAACTCTTTCATTCTTGAATTGAATAACCATGATGTCCAGGAGATGTGGTTTCAACAAGACAGGGCAACATGTCACACAGTTCGTGCCACAATCGATTTATTGAAAGACACGTTTGGTGACCGCCTAATTTCACGTTTTGGACCTGTGAATTGGCCTCCAAGATCGTGTGATTTAACACCGCTAGACTACTTTCTGTGGGGCTATGTAAAGTCATTGGTCTATGCGGATAAGCCACAAACGCTTGGCCATTTGGAAGACAACATTCGCTGTGTTATTGCCGATATACGGCCACAAATGTTGGGAAAGTCATCGAAAATTCTACGTCCAGATTGGACTACATCCTCGCCAGTCGTGGCGGTCATATGCTAGAAATCATATTTAAAATGTAATGCCACAAGATTATCTTTCGGATAAATAAAATTCATGTCAATCGAATAATCCATCGTTGTCTTATTGCAACTTAAAGTTCTAGTCGTAATTATTGAGATAAGGGTCAGGAGCATCTTAAATGGACCACTCTGTACATGATCTGTCGCAGCAACCTTTCATATCCCATATATTCCATATGGGATAGCTCCGTATTTTGGATTCCCGGAAGTCACTTTGGATCGTTTTAATGTAACCAGGCGTATCACAAGGGAGAACGTACTAAGCATACTTTGATTGTTGACACTTTGATGGAGGCGAATACTTTAATAAGCTTGGGAAGCGAGACCCGCTTGCACGAACGTTATTAACCCCCGTTGCCAATTAAAATGTAATATAAACAAGTTTCGCACTTAATGCGAAATACGCGGCGGTATTATCGCCGTTTTGTTTGTACTTTAAATAAAGCTTCATCTCGGTGTTGGCGAAATCTACAAATCTGGGGTGCTCTTAAATTGACAACAACGTAACCGGAACAGAAATCTGTAATTTATTGTAGATTCGCCTCTTGTACAAAATGGAAGTCGTGTCCCGAAATTACGAGGAAAAAATTTGATAACTGGTTAATTGTTATTTACTAATTAGTACTAAATTTAGCACGCTTATTACTTACTATTTTTGCATTTTTAGACACAACTTGACTTTAGCTCCCATGACCTTAAGAAAATGTCCTCACACTTCTTTATGTTTTTAAAATAAATTTAAAAAGCTTCCAATTAAAAATCATTAAGAGGACTTTAATAGCACTATAATACTGGAAAAATTCCCCAGAACCGGTTAATAGACATTTGTCACTTTACCAAAGAAACCAAATGCAAAAAAGTGTGATGAGCATAGAATTACAATACTTATGAGCCACCTGCTTAAGACTTTCCTAAAAATCATCAACAAGTAAGTATATAAAATATGTGAAGTACAAATAACATGTACACAAGTTAATATTCGGAACAAATAGAAGAAGAAGAAAACTTTAAAATACCCCCTCTTGTTATAAGAAATAAAAAAACACTCCCAAAACAATTGCCCTTTTACATTTACAATGACGATTAATTTTTGAGTGCGCTGCTTGAGTGCGTGAATGAGTTTTCTTAAAACAAATGTAACAGTACATTTGGACAGATTTGAACAACTTCGTTACTTAAAACTGTAACATACTCCAGCACAAAATTTAACATATTTATTTATTATATATATATATATATATATATATATATATATATATATATATATATATATATATATATATATATATATATATATATATATATATATATATATATATATATATATATATATATATATATTTATAGATATAACTTTTTTTATGCTACTTGATTGATAAATAATTTAATTAATCAAATAAGAAAAGCATTTCTAAAAGCACCTTCACGTGTTCACATTTATAAGGAAAATTGACCAAATATTACCACCACAACCATTAATAATTCGCTGGGGCACTTGGTTAGTCGCTGCTATATTTACTGCCAAAAACTTTGAATTAATTAAAATAATGATCGAAGATCTCTCTTTTTTTATGCAACAGTGAGAGAGAATTTAATATTTATAAAAACAAATTATTATTTTGTACCTACAGCACTCAAACTTACTTCTATTTCTTTGACAGATACAGTGGCTTTATAAGTCCATTTGAGGTAGATTGCAAAAAAGTTTCACGTATTGTTGGAGCTACGGTTACAAAAAAAATGTTTCCGAAAATGAAAGTAACACAGGCTCCAAAATTCTAAAAAGTATTTTAGAAGTTTTTATAGGCAATTTCACTAATTTCGAAGGAGAACTGAGATAAGAACACAATTTTCTTTTGGTAAATTTTCAAAAATTAGTTATCAATTGGTTTTATAACTGCAAAGAATAGTTTGGTAATTTACCAATTGTATCTTGTGCAAGTTGCTATTATCTGAATATATCAATGGTTTTGTTTAATTATTAATTCTATTATACTTTATTTTCATAATCACAAATAATATTTTGTCACTGAGATTTTTATGGTTTGCAATTTGCTATGTAAGTATCTAGTATATTTATTCAAATAGGTCTGTGGTATAGGTAAAAAATTATAGGATTTTTGAAGAAATAGTTCTTGCTTTATTTAAAATATTATTAATGTTCACAATTTTTTATATAATTAAACTGCTTATTTGCATTTTTTGTTAATTTCGATGCATATTATCTGAAATTTTTATGCATTTAAATGGTCGTATATAACCAGTTAAGTTAAATTTAAAAAAAGGGAAGAAAGAATTAAACTCAACAGACCTGCTTGACTAGTTCTAGTTCTAGTTTGTGACATTTTTTCAATTAGTTTTTGAAAAATATTGTTTCACCATTTGAGAAGAAATCATAATAATAAACGATGACATTTTCTTCTTGCTGACTTGAATATGATAATTATTATTTATGCGAAATCGTAAGATCGATTATTTCGAAGAAAATATCAACAAAGGGTCCTGTGAAGTAAAATACAGGGTGTTGGGTTTAAAAAAAAAGTCTACATGTCAAAATTCTACATTTACCACTTGTTTCTGACATATTCGTCCAAAAATCTTCACAGTAAGTTTATAAGCAATCGTAAAACTTTTTTTTATTTTGTATTTCTTATTGGTGGTCACGTGGGTAGGGTGGAAATGCAAACAGTAGTGAGTTATTAGCATATTGAGTTTTTATTTTTTACACAACATTGAACACATTAATGGTTTACATAGATAAATATGCAAAAAAAATGAACATGGAGTATAAAAAAATGTACAACCACAGGAAAACAAATTTTAAGTTAACAAATTAATTTAATTAATTCTACAGGATTGGTGAGGTTTTGTCAGATCTCATGTATATCAGTAGTTTCAGCGAGCACTGTTTTCCTGGTTTATATAAAAAAACTTTCTTTTTTCAGTGGTAATGGTATCAAACGTGAGCCATGTCTTGGCCGTAGAAGATGTCTCTCCGGTGACGCTCAACGATCACTGGTCCAGGCTAGCAAGACTAATTCTGCTAGCGTCCATGTCTGCGGTCGGAAGCGTCGGAAACGTGTTTATGATCAGCGCAGTTATGATAGAAGATTATCTCAGAAAAAGAGGTAGGCAATCGAAATTTTGGGTTCGTTAATTGACATAATAATAATAACCCTTCATGGCCGCTACTTGGAGTCCAGTTCCATATTTTCTTTTGGCATCTATCATCGGGCTACCTTTTCGTGTGACCATATCAGGACAATTGTTTGCTTTCTATTTTTTCTAGAATATTTTTTTTACTCCCATTTGGGTGTAGTTTTGCAACATTGTATCTAATATCTATTCTCAACTACCATTATTCTTTGCTGAAGTTTCTTATTGAATGTCCATATTTCTGAGCCATAACTAACATAAGACTCGACAAATGAATTGAAAAATTTTATTTTTGTGATGTTGTTTGTAAAGAAAGAACGAACAACTCTTATGAGAGACGGAGTAGGAAAGAAGAAGAGTACTGTACAATCAAACAATAAAGTAAATACAGTTCATCTACCTTCGGGAGTATATCTTTTTCATCTCTACCGTCCTCTGAGGTCGTGACTCCTGTATTCTGATGTTTTTTTTTAATGTGCCTATATCTGTTATCAAATCACTTCTCTATCGTCTTCTCCACATTCATCTGGAGTCTTTATTTTTCATATTGTTTAATTAGTTTGTGCATCATCTTCAATTTCTGCAAGGATAACCTGATCATCCGTGAATAACATTGTGTAAACATTACTGATTAAAATTTGAACTTCCATATGTTTACATTTCCAACTTCATTCCTTTAATACTGATATTATATACACCTTCAACAAAATGTATCCGATAAATTTGTTCTTCATTTTATTTGGCTCAAATTTTCTTTGCATATTTATTTTACAGCATTTATGTATTTTGCAGGGATATGTCAGGTAAAGTTTTTGTTTGGTATAATTTGTTTATTGAAGCTGAAAACGTACCCTTTTAATATCCCGGAGATTAAATGGGTCGCAAATTCAACTTGTGTCTATACAGAGTAGAATAAAAATTATGATCACAATATTGAATTCTAAAAAAAAAATTAATAGCGAATTTTTGTCAGTGTTTGTCAGTGTCAGAAATAGCGTTTTGATAAAACATTTACTTAAAAAAAAATCAACAATATTTTTCAGAGAAATTTTCAGGTAATACTAGTTACAAATATTCTTGATTCCTCTTGCGACGGCTGTTTATAAATAAAACTTTCTCGCGTTTCGCCTACATCCTGTTGGCTTCTTCAGAACTTGAATTCTTGCACGTAATCAATTCTCCTACCAACGAAAAATCCGAGAATCTATAGAAATCTATAAGCAACCAACTTTTCATCAATATAAAAATCAGTCATCCGAGACAATGTTCATGGCGCTGCTTTAGCTTCGCCCCACTTAAATAATATATAAGCAGGTACAGAGTAGAATGCGAGCCAGTTTAATTTAAGTTCCGAAGAAGCCAACAAAAGATTTGTACATAACAATAATAATATGCGAATAGAAAGTGGTAGTATTGTGTGATGCAATCATATAGCTATTAGAAAACTTTTGCCCCCGAAGTGAAACCCAGTGATCACCGACATCTTTAACAAGCCAATTAAAAAACAAAACACACTAACACTAACCAAAATATTGAGAATTTAAATTTTAAATTTTAAACGCCAGTAGCATTTTGCTACATTTTCGTTCTAAAAAAAATGATTAACTGTCAGCGGCCATGTTGTTTGTTAAACTCTGCATTTTCAGTCAGATCGATACGTAAAAAATATCAGCTTTTCTTGCCGATACCAGATTTCGTTTTGATACACCAAATACTATAGTAATTATTTTGATAAACACAATGTTGACCAAGAGCGAAATAAATATGTTGTATGATGTTGCTTAGATGTTTAGTATCGCTGAAACACCCCATTTTCTCTACGGAAATATACCGAAACATTTGCAGAAAACTTATCAAATTATGAAACTAAAACTTTTAGGGATTCACAGTTTGGACTTCAAACGAACACATTCTGGACATTAACGCATCTCTCATATCGCATATAGGTATTTTTGATATGTCTCGATAATCCCGCCGGAATTTAGCGCAATATCTAATCCAATTCGTCGGGCGGTACAATGTGAAGGATCGGAATTGACTCAGAAACAATTCGGGTCGATTATGTGTCTCTGTCCGAGGCGATGATATTCATGGATTCCTGGCGGCAGGTGACCTTTCGGTTATTTTCTTTAATGTTAATTCTGTTAAACGGTTTTCCGATAATTTCTGTAATTAGAGTTTCTATAGCATACTGGTGTAATTTTTCACAGAGGAGTTATGAATTAGTACCATCTAAAGATGCAGATACTTCCTGTCACAAAATTATATTTAATCTGTCTTAAGAGTAGACGGTATATCAGACACGTCTATTACATGTGTTTCAATCGTATAAAAGCTCATCCTCAGCAATATTCGAAGCCTAAAATTTCATTGAAATTATTCGGAAGTTAATTTTTAAAAAAGCAGTGAAAACGATTATAATGTAACCCATTTGTCATTTTGGATATTTTTTACGGTTTCAAAGTTATGGCAGAAAAAATCCATGAGAAAATGTCCCGTGCACCTTTTCACGTGCTGCCTTTCCAAAACAAATGCGTACGAAATTGTGATTTTAGCAGTTTGATACATTTAGTTTTAATTTGATCTTTTAAATTAATGGGATATGATACTTTGTTGCATAAAAGTCTGGAAGAACGCTGATGCAGCAAGCAATTTGTAGAACTAGAATTATCCTGAGAGAAAACAACCCCTTAAAGATATTTTCGGAAGATTGTGACAATTAAATACCGATAGGGAGTTGCGAGAAATGGTGGAAATCATTCTACAATGTCAGCAAAACTTATTAAAATATAGGGTGTTTTTTAATTGAATGTCAATAATTCAGGGTGCAAGTTTCTGATCCATTTTAAAAAGAAAACTTCATATGAACATATGTCCTAAAAGTTTTGAAGTCGTAAAGTTCTCAAAAATAAAGTATATTTTTTTAATATCTATCTTCAGCGCTCCTATTAGGCGAACATTTTCAAATGTACATAGAAGGTTGACTGAAACAGGTGCTTTGAGGAAAATAATCATTTGAAAGGGGACCATAGCACTGTCACTCCAGAAATTGAAGAAGCAGTTTTAATATCTATTGAGATTGAAATTGAATATCTTGCAAGTCTCGATTTTCTATTGTATCCCTATTATATCCAAAGAGCCCAGGCATTACTTCCCAGAGATTTTCCGTTGCGTGTAAATTTATGACAATGGTTTTTGCACCAAATTGTTAGAAAGGCTAAATGGCCATATTTATAGCAGGTTTTTAGAAGATAATTTGGATTTGAAGAATTAGAACAGAATGTGGTTCATGCATGACGGCGCGCCTGCTCACTTTAGTGTTCTATGTTCTACTTTTTGCAAAAGGACTGTTATTAATTTATCAACAGGCAGTTTTGCTAAAAATTATTAATAGCAAGTAGGGTTGCTTTTTTTTTAAATAAGAATCGTTATGTTATTTCATTAAAACTGTAAAAATAAAAAGAACAGTGTAATTTTTCTCTGAAAGACACTAGTTAGTAACTACAAAACTAGATATTTCGTTTTGGGATAGATATTTTATTTTTTAGAAAAAAAAGTTTTCGATTTGATCAGTGCATTTGCGACCCAATTAACCAAAATATTATTTGTTCATAGACAGTCAGTGGCAAGCCACCACCAACCAAGGAAATAAATTTCTGTAGAAATGATTGGAGATTGTAAGAATATTTTTTAATTTAAGTGAAATTAGTGGCGTACCATCAATGTCTGCTAAAATAATGCCTTTTGATACATAGTACATGTGTGCTAAATTTCATTAAAATACAGATTTTCAAAAAATATATTTAATTTTTTAAAATTTTACCACCTTGTATTTTACAATATAAAAAATCGATTTTTTGGTGAAAATCCTTAATTAAGTATATAAACCATTGTTTTCAAAGAAGTACAAAATTTTCCATAACGAAAATCATTTTGCAAAAACTAGTTTGAAACGGTAACAGATTTCCATGGGTGATTTTTACAATTATGTTTTGTTTTTTGATAATTAAGCCTCAGTCGTGGGCTTTAGTTTTCGTCTCCTTCAGAAATTGCAGTTTGTCTTTTGACCGTTGGTGAATGGTGCAGAGTGGCTGATCAATCACATATTTTAAGTGACGAAAATGTAAGAACAATTATGGGTAAAATTAATATGAAAAAACATTCATTAGCCAAAAACACGCTACAATCAGGTGTGACGTCAAAGAGTATGATTCGTTGTAGAAATTGATCGTTCACGTCGTTCAGTTAAGATATATTCGGTTATTTTTAATATCGTTCAAACACTGCAGATTGTGTAATAATTGAAAGTTTTTGTTTACGTTATTAACTTATAATTGCATTATTGTTAAAAAAAAAATCAATAAATAAGCTTTTTCCTACTCCCGTCTGTAAAATATTTAATGACACACCGATCTAGCATGCGGAAAGCGTCACTGTACCACGTTAGTTTCGTTTCCCAGTTATCCGAGCCACTTCGGACATTTCCGGGATTTTAGCAGGTGTTTGAGAGCAATCGGATGTTTTCGGAGATTTTACTGCACGGTTTGAATTTTGAGGTTTGCCAATTCTGACGGTCATATCAGTGAATGCATTCGTTTTGTTTGGCAAAAATGTACTCAATAACTAATACACAGAAAAATGTTATGCAATATATCAGACAATTTGGATACTACGTGTTATAAGCTACAACTAAAATCAAGTGGACTAGTGGGTAAGTAAAGTGACATTTACAATTTAAGTTTCCCACAGAAAATTCACTTGACGTTTTCATGAACTTTAGTGGTTTTTACAGTTTTTATGATAATATCTTACCACGACTAATTGTACCATTTTCAAATATCGATATGTCATCAGTAGAAAAAAAAAAACAAATTTGTAGGTTAGAACCTGCTTTTTCTTGCTTATATGATCTTAAAAATTTAATCCTCTAAAAAGCTCTATCCTTGGATGATTTTTCTTCCAATTACAGTCTTTTTCTTTAAAATAAACTACTTATTGATCAATTGAAAAAGTTAAATAAACAACTTAACATTTCAAAATTGCGTTTATTCGGTTGTTTATATGACATTCAATAATACATCTCTCCTTTGTCTAACGTACGCAGTTAAAAAGAGACAACAATAACACAACCGATCGGAACGATAACCAAATAGGTTTAATGGCAAACTAGTAAATATTTTATTTGAATGATACGAAACTTAGTAATTCGATAACCTGTTATTCTTTTTAATTTGTTAAATTGTTATTTTTTTCGTGACGGTCCCTTCTATCCTTGTCTTTTACCACTTTTCCTAATGAAAAGACAACACGACCGAATGACAGCTAAAGCGAAATATGTGTAAAATTATACAATGTAAATAAACAATAAAAATTTAATTTAGTTATTGTTCTTTTCATTTCAAGTTCTTTAAATTTTAACCTAATTAAGGTATGGGGGGGGGGGAGTGCAGAACATGGCTGTTAAAATCATATTGCTTTTGAAATAAGTGTCTTCTATTATTTGATACCTGTACCACCTCTGTAAAATAATACAAAGTTAACATATTTGGTTATTAGAGCAAGGTCATCACCAAGATTAAATCAATAAATCCATTCATATTTATTGAATCCACAAAGATTTTTATTGAATTTTCGTAGTGTAACTACGGTAGGTGCAGTAGTTTACGTTCAGCATAATATTTTTAAAAATATTTACCTTTTGAGTATTTTTTTTATTATTGCGCTCTGGCCCCTGATATTTTTGGGTTCGGAGCTAGTGCGGATAAAGTGGGGTAAGAGCGATACATAAGGATATGCCAGGGTGTACGCCAGGGCTGTACTCTCCCCTTCTGTTTAACTTGTATTTAGATATTATTATTGAAATAGTACTAGAGAGGACGGATGTAAGCATTAAGGTAATGCTCATCTGGAACTAAACGAAACACACATATAAAGATTTAGATGGTTTAAATACCTGTGGTCTCTGATTTCAGATAACTATGACCCGGATATAGGAATTAAAAACCGAATTGACATTACGCGTTCCAGTTTGTGTTCTATGAGGTCAGTGTTCTGCAATACTAGCTTAAATATGGCTCCTCGACAGCGAAACAGGGAATGATTAAATGCTACATATGGAATGGAATGGAATGGAATGGAATGGAATCTTGGACACTGAAGATCAACCAACACCTTAAACCGTCTGGAAGCATTTGAGATGGTTGGACCCTTCGGCGAATCTTAAAAATTTTCTGTACTTCAAGAGTGACCAACGAACAAGTTCTGAGAAGAGTAAACACACATCGTGAGCTGAAAGTAGCATATCTCCTCAGACAGATTACGGAGGGAAAGATTGAAGGTATACGAGGAGTTGGTAGGAAGCAGAAGTCCTTTTTTAAACTAGCAGGAGGCCGAGATGCTTCCTCCCAAGTGGTTGTCTACGTCAGATAACTGTTAGGGCACTGAAAAAAGAAGAAGAAGAAGAGCGATACATAGTGCACACTTACCCCCGACTTTCAGCTTCAATTTTTTTTTAATATCAATACCACCATGCTGACAAATTATGTTCCCAAAAGGAATGGGGGCGACGGATATACCGCAGAGAGAGAAATACCTTCTACTATCATCTTCAAGACAGAAGAGGACAAAAAATTCTAGCTATGGAAGACCTCAAGACCTTCCTCTACATGAATAAGAGAAACTAGCAAATGGTCACCGTACCATGGAAAATGGGGTTTTGGCCTGTCTCGAAAAAAAATAATGCAAATTGTAGCTGAGTAGGTCAAAGAAAACCATATAAGTATGCAGTTTAACGATGGTAAGTAAGGAAAAGGAAAACATACCCCGGAGGGTAGAATATGCTAGAGAAAAAATTTGGACCTATTGTTAATCTACGAATAATTCGATTTACCTGAAAAAACTGTGATTGAACTTTGTTTGCCAGAAGGTCTATAACAAATTTGGAACCTAGATGAAAGCAGCTTTTGCACGGATCCATCGAAAACAAAAATTGTCGGACAACGAGGGGCGTCATCAACAAGAACCTGGCAAACAATACAACTGTTTTTAATGGGCTGCAGCGTAAGTGGGGGAAAAGCTCCACCGCCCATTATCTATATATTTCGTAACAGGGGACTGCTCCACCGTACACAGAGTTTCCAAATACTACCTATGCTGCCATATCTAAAGGGTGGACCACAACTATTTCTGAAACAATTGTCTAAAAAGTATAGTCCCAGAACGATCTGTGTTAGTTAATTTTGACGGACACGCTAGTGATCTTGGAGCAGATGTGATAAACACGACTATTGACATTGATTTGAGAGTCTTCAAATCACTCAAGAACGTTGACAAAAAAACCATATTTTTAATCAACAAACCCTAATAAGGTGCCATCACCGTTGAGGCAGGGTCAAGTTCAAGCTCACAAGAAAATATTTCAATAATATCCGAAGAACACGAGACGGTTGTGGTTGAAATCAACCCATGTTTATTCTACTTTATTCTTTCAACAAATTTATCTTAAATATTAATTACATTGTGGCAACTTAAACTAGGATATAATAAAAAAAGAAAATAACAAACCAGTGACAGTAAAAAATATTATTAATTAATGTTAGTATAAAAAAATCTGACACAATCAATTTAACAAAATTTGTCTTATTTTAACTTTAAAGCTAATTTAAAGGATGTGCTTAGGAGCAGAGGTAATAACAAGCGCCGACATTGACAAAATTTTAAGAATACAACCAAAAAAAAGTAAACCAAAAAATAAATCAAAAAGAAATAAAAAAGTTTGTAAGCCAAAGATATCTGAAAGATAACAATTTTTCTGGAAAAAAGAAAGTGCGCAAATATGTCTGTTTGGTTAATGATGACGAAGCAGAAGTAATAGACCGAAAATGGCTCACAATTTATTTTAAAGCGCAACGATGTCTGCACCGTACTGTCGGACATAGAGAAAACACTGCCTGTCTCAAAAATACCAAAAACGGCTAATCGCGAAAAGTATATTTTTGCGACAGCTCCTAAAGTGTTTGAATCATAAGAAATATATTCATTTTTTTTATATATTTCGTTCAACATTAATTAATGTTTTTTTATTTTAGTTGAATGAAAAATAAAAAATGCAGATATGTAGGTATTCTGTACTAGCCCCACCTAGAACAGAACGCATTAATAGCAAAAATAATGACATATTATGCTCTTGTCCTTCACCAGTGGGGAACGTGCGTAACATATAATTTAAAAAATACATGCGCCCAAAATTGGCAAATACTATATTTGCAATAAATATATATTACTAATATGTAAGTGAATAATCACATTAATATGACAAATATACGAAAACTCGTAAATTTAAAGGAAGTAATTTTCATAGTTGTTTATTATTATCTATGGACATTTGTTCGCACTTGCCCCGCTTTACCTTATAACACAGTGGACCACTCGAAATCATGGAACAATAGTGGGCATGGTTCACGAATAGTATAAGTATTTGGGCTACTTGCAGAACATGGGGTATAGGCCATAAGAGATCCAAGAAACAACTGACAAAATCATCTTTGCAAAGGCTTCGCTCCATACTACGATCAAATTTTCTGCCGGAAATTGGGCACGTGCCATCAATGCCTATGCAATACCGGTTGTTGCATACAGCTATGGGGTCATTGCTTGGAACGCAACAGAGCTTAACGACCTAAACATCAAAACCAGAAAGGAGTTTCGGAGCTTACCACCCAAAATCATCTGTAGAAAGATTTCATCTCCTCCGGACACGGATATACTCATCTGCAGTATAAAATGCATACTCCAATATAAATTGTTTTATTATTTTACAAAATTTATTGTATGACAGGTTCTTAACAACAACAGTTGGTAGAACATTGAAATAATTAATGTACCATTTATTTGTACAATTGATTCAGATCCCCTGTTGTAGTAGTTGTGGCGATCACAGTGCTTAGGCATATCGTCCTTTAGCTCATGTATGCACGTGGTATGGTAAATAAACAGTGATGGTAAGGTGAAAATATGATAATAACAATAATATATAGCTTCCACGAGATCAGGGAGGAAGAGGTCTTCTAAGTCTGGAGTGTCTGCATGGCAGGCTTGTCTTGGGCATTGCCTGCAAGATCGCTAATAGCGTGGACCCACTTCCGAGACTCGCAAATGATTAGGAAGCTGCCAATGTCTGAGCATTCCTCTTTTGAGCAGAAAAGCGGCTGACCGTTAGGGCTCACATTCACATTGGATTCAGATAACCAGCACTCACTCCCAGATTAAGAGAGCGGAACAGCAAAAGCTCCTAGAAGACCACGTCAGTAAGCCGCAGCATGGATTGTTCTACAGGCACCTCCAGACTCTGGACCTGTCTAGGAGGCTCACTTTCGTGTTCCTAAGATCTGCTCACATACCGTAGTCAAATCTCTAACATCGCTGACATTAGCTGCGGGTGCTTCCGTCAACATCCCGAGATGCTTGTGCATTTGCCATCAGCGGCTTCGAGCTACATTTACCGGCATAACGCGGCTCTTCGGGTACTTTACTTCACTAACACGAATGCTCCCATACGTCCCAGGTAATATTGAAACAGTGGTAGAAAACAACAATTGCCGCATCTACTGGAATTATGCTTTTCTCACTACAACCTGACTCCGGGCTAATCAGCCAGACTTAGTTCTGTTGGATAAGTGAAATACTCGATGTTTGTCATAAAGTTCTCTGCTCCAGCAGAAACTAACATCGAAATCAAAGAGAGGGAAAAACGAGCAAAATGGATTTTGTGGTCCTAATAGTCCACGTTTTGGGGGGTATGAGTTCCACTAGTGTAAACATTTACAAACGACATCCGGTTGGAATTTGGAGTAGAGAAGTGCAACGTTCATCAATTTCAAGCGGGGTGAGATTCAGGCAGACGAGGGCATGAAATTCATGGAAGGATCTGAGTTTGACCCTTTGATGGAAGGAGAATCCTATAGATATTTAGGTATAAACCAAGTACTTAAGACCAATCAGGCAGTAGCAAAAAAATCAGTAAAGGAAAGGCTTTTAAACCGAGTCAAACAAATATTGAAAACCAAATTGTACGCGGGGCACCAAACCGCTGCAATCAACTCCTGGGCTTTGCCGGTTTTCTCGCAGACGTTCGGTGTTATAAAGTGGAGCCAATCTGAGTTGGAAGCAGTGGACCGGGAGATGAGGGTTCTAATGACAAAGCATCGAACTCACCATTAAAAATCCTCAACAAGCAGAATGTACCTGCCAAGAAGAATAAGAGGCAGATGAGTATTAAATCTCCAAGTACTCCATTCGAACCTGCTAAGAAAATTAACTACTTACCTCACAAACAGCGCCGATAGACTTCACACATCCATAGACATCCATTCATCCATCCATAGACGCATAGACGAAAGTGCCTCTCCACTGAACCTCGCTGCCCGCCAACGACCTCAAACAAAAACATCGATTAAAGATATGGAAGAAGAATGGAAAAACAAAGCTCTGCATGGAAGGTATGCTAAGGCTGTCCACATGATATGTTACCCAAGGATGTCTTAGGCCAAAAACTGATGGTTTCTTAAGCTCTACACAGGACCAAGTAGTTCACACGCGAAATTACAAAAAATGTTTACTAAAACAAGCGATTCAGCATTTAATATCGGCGTGTAGTTATTTAGCGCCAAAAGATTACCTTCAGCGGCATAATGAAGTTGCAGTGATTATCCATCAGCATATACTTACCGCAAAATGTCATCGAAAACGAAACGTACAAGGTACGTACAACTGATCGGCAGGTAAGACACAATGTACCAGATATAGTGGTTGTCGACAAGCAGAAGAAAGAGGGGTTTCTGATTGATGTGAGCATCCCATTGGACGAAAATATGTCTAAGGTAAGGACCGATAAAATTACTAAATATCAAGATTTAGCACACGAGCTAAAGGGCATATACAAACTTGCAAAAGTATCCATAATTCCAATCTCTGCAAACGGAATTGTGGAAAAGAGCAAAGTGTTTACAACTTTTGGGCATAGAAAACCACAAGAAAATTACCACGCTGGGGCAGAAGGCGACAATACTGGGCACGTGCAACATAGTCCGAAGGGTAATGGCGCATGGACGAGTCGTTGACGAGCAAAATCCCGATTGTTCCATGGTGAAAAAGGACCCAACAAAAGTTGTGAAAAGACAAAAAAAAATAAAATAACAATAGTTCATATGGAAAATTGCATTCATTTAATTTATTATAGGTTCCATAATCCATATTAATTAGCGTGAAAAGTACTACTACTTTGCTAATCTTCGGAGCTACACTTAATTTGGTTCACCCGGTATAAGCGATCTATCTGTCGGTCGCTTTAACAATGGTAATTATAACCTTTAGTAGCAGACGCAAAGGAGCTTAACCATCGGAACTTTCCGGGAAGAAATTTCAACGGCCGGATAATCCCCGACGAAGTGTTTGACGAACCGCTCCCCCAGCCCCCCACTCAGCGACTTTTTGTTTGTCTTTCCTGTGTTCTTATCGATAAAGCATGTCAAACAAGCAACACGACAACTGACGTCCAAACATGTGTTAGAATAATGCGTGTTCTATTTCGAACAATAGATAAAATATGATTTCAAAAACAGTATATTATCCGCCGTGTTCAATGAGGGGTGGAGTTGTTTTCCGTTTGGAATGTTTACCTCGTGAACCCATTAGAGTTATTTTAGTTCGGGACAATTCAGTGGCGTGGATTTGATCCGGTTTGGTTACGAGAATTTTAAAAGGAATTTTATGGTTCCGATGGCCTCTATATCTATGTGTTTATGTTTATAATTTGTTTAGATCGATACTATTCATCATGTTTGATAGAGTATATTCTTCAAATATTGCTCTCAAAAAATTACATTTTAAAAATTTTATGACTTCTCTTCGAACACAACTTCCTAAAAATTGTTTAACAGCGAATATCTTTTAAACAAAGACCAATGTATATACTTCAAGATTACCTTCATTTCTTGTGGCTTTAAGTTGATTTCGTATAACCCGATTGGATGATTAGGGTTGAAGTAAAGAACTGAAACGATATATTTCCAAATATTCTACTTATATATTTCTATATATAGATAAAGACTTCCATGGATTCTCTGATTTTTCCTTGGTGGAAAATTTGATGTGCAATTTCATGGTTATGTCCTGCAACTGCTGACGAGTTTATTTGTTGTACTTTTAAGGCTCTTTTATGGTTTTTGAGCATAGTTGATATTTTTCGTCCTGTTCCTCCATTTGCAAGGAATGATGTAAACTCGTAATTTCTCAAATGGAATTTTATCTTTGACGGATCGAAGATGTGAGATTTTTGGACAAGTGATAAGTCTACTTTTAACGTTATATTTCTCAAGAACTTTTGATACGTGGATGTGATGTTTTGAATGTAAATAGGGACAATATTTGCAAGTATGGGGTTGCATTCGGATTGTCTTTGGAAGGTTGTGTTTTTATGGTAGAATGCTTAATATCTCTAATGTAGTAATTTTGGTTTTAGATGGAATGTGTAGAGGGCTTTCTCCTCAAAGGCTCACCTTAAATACATTGGCGATGACTGGTGATATTAGAGAACCCATAACTGTTCCCGACGTTTGTTCATAAATTTGACCGTTACAAGAAAAATATGCTCCAGACAACCATTTTAATATATCTTTGAATTTTTTTCTTTGTGCTCATGACCACCATTTCTTTTATCTGCTTTTAGAATTACGATGTTTTAGATTTCAGAGATTCTCGACCAATGCGTTCAAGCTTCGTTGAAGAATTAACTATAATTTTGACATAATATTAACTGTATAATATGATTTCCTTCTATATGTATCTTTTTCAATTGGAGAAAAGTTAAGTTGCTTAATTGCTCTAAAGCTAACAAAAATAAGTTATTTTAAAGGTGAACTAACAAGTATTTGAGATTCTTTTTTATTTTAATATTTCTTTTAATTCAATTTAATTTAATAAATTTAAAATTTCAATAAATGTGCTTGGAAGGAAAAAATACTAAAATCAAAGAATTTGCTTTGCTTACATTATTTCTTAGTCCATCTTTGATAATTTACTTTTCTTAGCTTCACGGCATTATGCATCAAAATCACATCTAACCAAAACTAACCAAAACGGGGATATCCTATACTCAATATAGAACATACTCTGAAACCAAAAATAATTTGCATTTAAATTTAACTTTATCTGGGGATATTATCCGGGACACCTTGTTACAGGTTTTTCCAGATGCTCTTAATTTTTAACCCCGTCAGACTGACGAAATTAAATTTCGAGATAAAATCAAATCAACGCCAACCGCGCGGCACGATATTACCGCAAAAGTTTTAATAACCGATTTAACGAGTTAATGACATTTTTAATTAAAAGATGGTTAAGCAAATTTTCCGGCAGGCCAAGAAAGTCGGGAATTTAATATTCGGAGAGTTGCACGTTTCGGGAATAAAGTCGCTTCGTGTTCTCCATCTTATTCTGAGGTATTTCGAACGGCAAGGCCGTACGTTTGATGATGCCTGGATTATCTCTAAATTAAAAATTGTTGTTTGTTTGTTAAACATATTTTCATAAAATGGCTGACATTCTAAACCACCCCAGAAGTTTTACACAAAATCACTCTTACGTTCGATGAGGAATCCAAAACACAATTCGGAGTATTCAGTTCTCTATAAAAGTAGGTATCCTGTTTGCGTTGATCTTCTGTTTTTTGCCACTTGCAAAATCATGGTATCTTTATCTTTATTTGTAATGTTTAATTAATATATTATTAAATAACCTACTTGAAGCCCATTTGGCCTAAAAGAACCAACGCCTATCTGTCTAATATTTTTTGCCTAATACCTGCAAAAAAAAAACAATGTAGGTACAATGGTTTGTTATTAAGTTTAAAATCCTCACGTTTTAAAATAGGTCGTCTCTTCTCCATAATAAAAAAATCGTAAATGATTTCCGTTATGGATTTCATTTGTCTTGGAGTGATATGTCCCGATTTCTTTGATATCATTGCCCTCTTCTTCCTTGGCGCAAAAAGAAGCGCTTCATCTCGTACATATCTGAAAAAATATAGTTAATTTTTTGGTACCTTAAAATTCTGATATCGCAGAAGAAAAATAATAATCTATTCGATTCAGTACGTTTGCCCCTGCTATAGGAAAGAAGTGTTTCTTTAGGGATCTTAGGTAAATGATCTATCTGCTTCAGATAAAAATATATCTTCAATGACTAGAATCTAACAAATAAGGGTCAACATAATTTTTCTTTTAAAAAGGGCGAAATCGTCATATATTCTTATAAAATAAAAACATATTTACAGTTCACAGTTATAAATTCGAGCCTACACTGAACGGGAGAAAGCAGCTGTGCTCAAATCCAGATGATTCGGCTAGCTTACTGCGCCGCTTACATCACTGTACTGTTTACTAAATAATCGTACTCTATTATTATTATTAATAAAAAAGTTGAAGAATTTCAAAACGAATTCAAAACAAAATTTAAAAATATTTTTTAAATTGTAAGTTTTATTGGTATCAGTTTTTTGAGCCACCCTCTATATTGCGATGATCGGCAATCCTTCACATTCACATTTTCTCTCACCCCACCAATTCCGCTTTAAGAGCAGAAAAAATATAGTCATTTTTTGGTACTTTAAGATTCTGATTTGGCAATTTAGTTTAGTAGTTTTTAGTTTTTAGTTTTTAGATTTAGTTTGTTTGTCATCATCTATTAGAGCTCTCCCAACAATATACCGTTTTTACAACCTTTTATGGTTTTGACTTCCGAATGAGCTTAAGTTCCGTCTGTTGTACGTGTAGCACAAGCCAGAGCCGTATTTAAGATGCTAGTGAACAAGAACTGTAATATTAATTCATATTAGTGGGCTTTTTATAAATCTTCCTAAAACAGTAGCTTGATTTCAAGTTGATTTTGCCTGTTTGATACGTCGATTTCCTATATTAAAAACACATTAGAAATCTTATACTGATTTCCAATGCTGTCAGTTTTATGAAACAGTATTTTCTTTGGAGTTATTTCTATCCCGTCTTGTGTTTGTAATTAGTAATTACCAACTTACTTATTCAATTGTTTTTCAAGACTCATTTTAAAGAACGGATTTTTCAATTCGTGGACAAATAATAACCGAGGAATCACGCCGATTAAACTCTACACAAATCCGTCAGCTTTCAGCATTTCTATTCACGAAATCTGAAGTACGGTTCTGGAACGTCATTGTGGAATTGCGAATCTATTTATTGAGGGTTGCAAAGAGAAACCCAAGCGAGGTTAGCCTGTGGATAGACCTTCATAAAAATTTACCAAAGTTAAATACCGGATTATGTCGTAAAAACGGTATATCAGGACAAAAACAAAAAGCGTGATTTAATTTCATTTCTTAAGTTTCTATTCTCATTATTCCACTGGCCTCTTTCTGTGGAGGTGACCGAAAGGCTAAGCTTATTTTCCTTATCCAAGCGTGGCGATTTAATCGATTATTGCAAATTTTCGCGTGACCGCTTCATCAAAGAAGTGGCATATTCATAGCCCCGAGCGTGTTCCAAGTCAGTGGGAAAACACAATTAATTAAAAAGGCACTTAAATAAAAAAAAACAATTTGCTAGACAAGTCGACGGTGGCATTGAACTCCGCCGTCTCGGTGTTGCCATGCTAGCGATCGGCTCAGACTGTAGAAGGATTTTCATATTTCGGAAAACCTGCACAAAAACTTATTTTTCACGAAATGTTAATAATAAAAAATCAATCAAACTTCGTAAATGAAATCTTCTTCTCATATTCCAAAAATGAAATAAAACAGAAGATGTTCCACTACCATAAGTATAATTTTAATGCAGGGATTTATTTAGATACTGTTTTATTTATTTATTTTTTTTCATTAAACTTATTGCTGTCACAGAATAGAATAGTAAGAGTAGTCTAATTGATTCCACTGTACTCATTTACAACAGTGAAAAATAAGCAGCAAGTGAATTTTCGTAATAGTGTTATTTTTGGTTTCTAGGATGAACGATAAAAACTTAATATTTCAGCTATATTTGCAGCGCGATGGTTCACCTCTGGATAACTGGTTAATATGTAAGCTTCTGGTCTATAAAAACATATTTCTGCCAGCGGCTTTCAACTGTAGACTTATATTCTCAATCTCAACAGAACCTGGAAAAAAATTATTTTAGTTCATAAGTAAAGAGTCCTGTATGGCAATATGAAGATCCTAATCCAGGTCCTAGCCTGAGCCATCTCTTGCTGAGCCAAAGAAAGCATAGCATCATACAAATGGAGATGAATGCCAAAAGAAATCTGGACGTGAGCATGTTAATCAAGAGTGCTCCCAAAATTGATCCCTGAGAGAAAACTTTTTGTCCTTCAGAAGAACAGTCTCTCTTCTGCTAGCCAAACAATTCATTATTAGAAGTAAAGGCCTTAGTAAAGTAGAGTTATACTGAGAAAGTGGGCAAAATATCATCCGTGATATGAAGAAGTGCTTTGTAGAATTTTTTCTTTATAAAAAAAAATTATTGATTGCTCAGCACTTTTCGTACTGCTTTAGAAAGGAATTGGGCAAGCTGATTTTCCGTCGGCTCTGGAAGAAGTAACATATAACAGGGTCAGTGCTTTGCATAGGGAATTGCTGTGGTCTTCGTTCACTAAGATTATTGTTTAATGCGGCAACACTTCTTGTAACAAAGTGTGGTTGTTGAGTTAGTAATATTATTGAATATGATACAATACAACAAACAATATAATAATATAATATGGGCACCACTTAAGAAAAAATGGCGACAGACTTTGTGCCACTCGTTAGTTCTATTGCAATTTAATTTTTTCGATAGCTTCTATGAGCCATTTCTCTACACTTGACACTGTTTGAGTTGAAAAATAGCGAAAAGAATTCCTGATTAAGGTTTAGCTTTGGCCTGCGACGAAGATAATGAGTTTCTTCATCTAAATCTATATTGTCACGTCAAAGTAATCCCATCTACTGCAACATGCAACAAGCTTGATTTAATCCTCGAAACATTTTTTATATTCTGTTTTCGGTATGTCCATCAGTGCTTCCTGCAGTTTTTCCATTACTACCTCTCGGTTGCTGAAACGTGTTGCAGGTAGTGATTTTTAGACTCGATTGAACAGAACATAAGGAAGTCACAGGGAGTCAAATCATTTGAATTCGGTGGCTGTTGGATGTTATGTGTTGCATTTTTTTTCAAAAATTTACTAATAATGATGGCATTGTGCGACGATACGTTATCATGGTGCAAAGTCCACGAGTTTTCTGCACCCAATTCTGGTCTCTTGCGACGAATTTTTGGCTACCAACTTTACTGTTATACGTTGGAAACCCAAATCATCAACCAAAATGTCTTGGACGGATCCATAGACAGCGTTCAAGTCTTCCTATATCTCTCTGATGGTCAATTTGCTATTATTGATAAACATTTCTGTTACTTTATGAATGTTTTCGTCGGTAATCGGTATCGATCGTTCAATGTGCAACGCCAATCGTATAACTTTGGCAACGGCGCAGCCGGTTCTTATTGCCTCGTGGCATAACTTACTCACGCAATAAATTATGGATATATACGTGGGGAAATAGGACGAAAAGGGAACGCTCCGCGGAGACCGTGAAGAGAAAGTTAATGGTATGGTTGAGATGCGGAATCGGCGATATAATTCAGCGTTGAAGTTTTCCGCGTAGATTTGCTGAATGGTTACGTTTCTGTGTCAGCGGGGCTCAATCTCGGGTTAAATATAGAGACGAGCAATTGTTACGAGGGGTATTTTCGAACCCGATGCCCTGTTAGCCGTTTCTGAAGATTGACAAAATGATAGCGCTTTGATATATTTGTTGTTCGCAACGTAAACTCGATGAAAATAATTCGAACTATAAGTGCGAGATTGTTATCTACTTGTACGATATTTTCCTATAATTAGTCTTGTAATTGTTTTTGTAGCCAAGGAGTGATATTTCATGCTCACAGATCTAGAAATTGACGGTAAACCAAGATTTGCTACATTTTTGAGAGTGATGGAAAGTACTTTGCCAGATTGTAACATGTTATCTGTTTCTTTTATTATTAACTGAATATGCAATAACATGAAATCCTATTACAGTAAATTAGGTAACTAGCCTTTATTGGGTAGATATATCACTAACCTTGATCAAGCGCAGACTAATTCTAATTCTACGTCTACGAAGCTTATACATTAGGCTACTGCGAATTTATACGAGGGTCGCTTGAAACGTTTCCCACCCCACCCTGAAGATGGCGGCATCAGTTACTAAAAGCTAGTGATCGTAGTTGTTTTGGTTGTTTAGTTTGTTTAGTTTCAGCCATCTTGAACTCGTCAAAGGCAATAAGCCAACGCAAATTAAAGTTGAGTTGGACTTTGCACACAGTAATTTACCACAGTGAAATTTAGGGCTTAGGAGATGATGAAAGGTCCGGACGTCCAAAAACTGTAACTATCGACGATAATATTGCTAAAGTTCATGAAAATGTGTTAAACGACCGTAGTATTAAAGTAACCGAGATCGCAGAGGTTATGAAAATGTTCGAAAAATGTGTGTGTCGCATTTTAAATCAAGACTTGGGCATGAGAAAGCTGTCCGCGCGTTGGGTACCGCGTTTATTCACGTTAGACCAAAAACAACGCTATGGAGTTGCTTGCTATTAATTACTGTCGATGAAACTTGGATAGAAGTAACATATACGCGCGAATCAAAAATACAGTCAACAGTGGACTGGGTAGTGGCAACATCGGCTGGGAAAGCGATGGCGGCTGTTTTTTAGGATAGCCATGGAGTCATTTTAATCGATTACCTTCAAAAAGGAGAAAAACGGCCCTATTAAAAAAAAACGTGTTTCATCAATACCTCATTCCTCAACGGTTGCCATGGCGAAAATCCACGAATTACTGCTTGAACTGTTTGACCGTCCGCCTTACTCGCCAGATCTAGTCCAAAGCGACTTCTTTTTGTTCCCTCATCAGATAACTGCGGAGGACAAAGGTTTTCTTCAAATAAGGAGGCAATTACCTT